TATGTGAATATGAATATTAAATATGAACATTACATATTAATGTGAATATGTTCAGGTGAAATACAAGCTATATTGTAGTTCAACAGGGTTAAATAAACATGTACTGTGCTCATTGAACTGGAGGGGGTCCAAGGCTACTGTACGTGTCCCGAGAGAAAACAGCTGGAGAGCGAGTATCATAACAGCACTGTGGAGAGATCCAGAGTATACAGATCGGCTAGTGAGCTCGGAGGAGTGAGTTTAAATTTAATTAAGTGCCAGAGGAAAAAGTGAGAGATTATCGGGGAAAAAGTGGTAAAGAAGGGACTGGATTAGGATTGGAAAAAAAATCTGGATAGATTGAACATTGTGCGAGACATCCACATTCATTCTAAAAAAAACTTGGGATCTGCAGATCGCAGTGAAGTGGCAGCAAGTTTCTCGATCGTCAGAGACTGCGAGTAAAGTGCCTGATGATTTACAGCTGAGAACAGTGGACACAGGATACAGATTATTCTCACCAGACCGTTTGATTTATTGTAGTCAGGACTCAATCTATTTTACCAAGTAATCATGGACAAACTTGTTTTTTTCTGACTTTGACTTTACCATACAGTATTAACACATCAAAGAGTGTTTTACAGTATTAACAAACACATTTATTTAAAAAAAAGAATGTGAAAAAAGATTACTGAAATAACATTTTGGGAATTCATCCTCTCCTCTCAACAAGCACACTATTTTTTAATTAAGACTCAGTGCATCCCTTTATAGTAAATGTTTTTTGTTTTTGTTTGTTTCTCTATGTTTTTGTTTTTGAGAAATTTCATATTGTAACATGGTCTGCACTGTTACACCGTGGGAAAGCAGGTTCTGAGGCGGACAGGTTTCGCAGACGTCTGCTCTTTATTGTGCATAAATTCGTAACTAACACAGAATGGCAAAAACTTCAGTGTCGTAAAGCAGTAACCCCCCGAACCATAAACACTACTGCATCGTAAACCCCAAACGGAAGTTGTTTGCGACATGACATCCCCCCCCCCACTTCAGAAAATGAAACAAACATAGTTCTTCGAGACAGTGAAAAGGACTGCCAGAGGTAGAGCTGGCAATCACAATAAAAGCAATGAAAAGTCAGTTATAAAGCCTTTAAACCAGGCTGGTCTGGAATGGACCCTGGCTGGCCGTGGAGAAGGGGCTATGGGCTGCTCTCCCACAGGAACGAACAGCTCCACAGAGAAGTTGACCTCACCTGAGAGTCCGACAGGGACTGCCTCAACCTCAACGTCAGGGTGTGTGAGTGGTGTCACTCTGCTGAGGCAGCTGGTATGCCATCGTGACCCATCAAATAGGCAGAAGGTGGCGGGACCCAACTGCTCTGTAACCTAAAGGAAAAGACCAAAAAGACTGGAGCTTGTGCTCCAGACTGGATCTTCAGATCCGGACCCAATCCTGGACAGCAATTCTAGGTGGCGTCACCTTGTGTGACCTGTTATATTGCCTTTTCATGTGATGTTGGCATTTTGCTACAGTGCTGTGGGTGTGCACCAGAGGGGTTGGAGATGGATATGCCTGGAGCCTGTCCAGGGGCATTTGTAGTTCGCGGTTAAACATGAGGAAAGCTGCTGAGCTGCCAGTTGTGGTGTACTGTGTGGCACTGTAGTGAAGGAGAGTGCGGAGGAGCACATCTGAGAAGGAACAGAGAGTCTCCTCTTGAGAGTCTGATTGAGTTGTTCCACACCCCTGCTCACCTTTGGGTTGTAGAAAGCAACCTGAATGTATCGAATGCCTCGGTCAGCCAAGAAAGATTCAAACTCTCCAGACACCAACTTTCCCATTTTCAGTGGTGATGACAGCTGGCAGCCCCCAGTGGGTAAAGAGGGATTCCAGAAAGTCTGTGACAGCTTGACTTGTGACCGATCCTGTAAAAGCTACTTCTGGCCATTTTCATTGGAGGTCATAGACCACTATGAGGAAGCGCTGATGTGGCAGCTCCCCACAGATGTCCAGCTGTTTCAGGTGGAGCCACAACATTGGCTACATTAAGAACATAGATCATCCCATGTGTTATATACTGCATGAAATTAATGTTATACCTCTGGTTGTGGTTACACTTCTGCTCTGATATTCAGGTACACTTTCACTGCTCTAGCACCTACTCCCTCCTGACTCCCATGCTGAGTCTCTTGATCCACCTGTTCTCTAACCTTAGTCTGGCCTTCAGCAGTTGCTGTGTTGTTGTGTTCTGGGTGAGTTATGTCAATAAGAAGAGAATTGTATCCAGTGCACTTTCTTCTGGGCCAGACCCAACTACACTTCTACAAGAGTAGGATAAACACAGTCTCAGGTGGAGGGTCTGTAGAGAAGGAGAGTGTTTGAGGGGTTGGTCAAGAGCAGGATCTCACTAGAATTCCTCTATTAAAACTGTAGAGATTCTTGTTTGAGGGTGTCAGTGTGTTTTGACTGTGTTACATGTGGGAGTCTGTGTAGAGAGTCTTTCATGTGTAAAACGTGTTCAGTCTTGTGTAGTTTTGCGATGGATGAGATTTGTTTAGTTTCATGATCAATTTCTTTATTCTTTTTAAGGGGGGATGTATAGGGGTTGGATGTGTACTTGTTATTGCTTCATATAATTATTAATTTATTTTTGTGGTGTTATAGTTAAAACCCTGTTTTTTTTCTTCAAATGGTTTATTTTCTTTAAATGGGAAAGTTGTTTTTCTCAAAATTACTACAAACATCAAAATCTCCGGTTCCCTTACTCCAGTATTGGTCATTTACATTTGGGATTAATAAACCATTTGAAGAAAAACAACAACACTGTAACTAACTAAAATAACTATAAGAAGATGACATCATAATAAAATATAATAATAAATGTGAAGCAATTTTTATTATGGTTAAAAGTCAAAGTCTACCTATTTCTGTTTCCCTTTTCCAGTCACTGTAGCTCCGTGTGTCTCCCTGTTTCCCACTGTCTCCCTTCCTGACAATTTCTTTTCATTTTTCTTCTTTCTCCTGGAACCCAAATTTTGAAGCAGCTGTTGTCTTCATCATCCTCATCAATGGATACTCTGAGATGGATAATGACATGAAGTTGTATATTGCTGCTGAGCTTGGTGTTGTAGTGAAGACTTGGAAAGAAAGATGTAGAAGAGCTGTGCAGATGTTCAGCTGTGCTCCTGTCTTTTTGTCTGCAGGATGGGGAGCTGTAAACTAACAGAGAGATGTTGTGAAGATCTGGCCTCTGTTCTTCAGTCTCAACACTCCAGTCTGAGAGAGCTGGATCTGAGTGAGAATAACCTTGGGGATTCAGGAGTGAAACTGTTGTCTGCAGCTCTGAGGAATCCCTACTGTAAATTAACAACACTGGAGTAAGTGAACACTGGTGATTTCTTTGTTTTTTATTGTTTTATTTAGGTATGCTGAGACACAGAATATCGGCTTTTTCACATGCATCTACACCTAGGAATTACAAAATTAAAAAGAAGCCGGGCATATACAAAGACAAAAAACTGCTATGCAGTTTTATACAAGTTCTTGTTTGTGACTATTGTTATTTGTTAATATCTCATTACTGAGAGATTCAATATGCAATCTCCTATTTTGCCCATCTTTTTTACACACACATATATATGTAGTTTTTGGTTTAGAATACTGTGGGTGATAATCTTCATGAGGTTTCATTCATAGAGTCCTTCTTCATTTGAACACAAGGTCAGTCCAGCTTTAATCAGTTTCTAGTGATTTATTTCATGGCTGCAGTTCTGACAGTTCTAAAGAAGTATCTTTCTGCCTCTGAAGGCAGCTCATCTGGTGTTTGTCCCAGAAGAAAAAGGACTCCTAAGGATTGTTGTATATTTCTTCAAGATTTTGAAGACTGGGCCAACCCAAATTTCTAATTTGTATCTTACTCTTAACTCTTATATTCCTACTTTTCTAATATTCTATATACATCCGAAAGGATGTAGCTGTGGAAGTGAGTTAGGTATGCAAACTATCAATATGTTTATCTCTTATTTTAGTCTCATTTAATTCTTCTCAGCTTTGAATTTCCCCAGTGTTTTCTCCTTTCTCTCTGTGCTTTGACCTTGCCTGTTTGACCACGTCTTGCACTGACCCCTGTGCTCTGAACCTTGCATGTTAAACGACTCTCCTTCAGACTCTACCTGGTGCTTTAATCAGTTCCTCTCAGCTCAACCCTTCCATTTCGATCGCGTCTCTAGTTTCACTTTCTCCTGCCTGCCCTGCTTGCTTCCAGCAGAGCCCGCACCTGGATTCAGTCTCCAGGTTACTGCTTCCATCAGCTCAGTGCAGGAGATATCACACTGGGGCCCTGGGTTCAAATCCAGACCTGGGTTGCTATCTGTGTGGAGTTTGTATGTTCTCTCCATGTTTGTGTGGCGTCCCAGTTTTATCCCACAGTCCACAAACATGCTGGCAGGTTAATAGACTTCTGGGAAAGCTGGCACTAGTATGAGTGTGTGCTCTTTGATAGACTGGCATCCTGTCCAGGATTCAATCCTGCCTTGTGTTTAATGCTTCCTGGGACAGGCTCTGGATAACTGTGACCCTGAATTGGATAATTGTTTATTAAAAGTGATGTTGATGGTGTTCAAATGCTGCACTACCACTTTGTCGATTAGCTGACAGTATAAACATATCCCTGTAATGACAGATAAAGTCAAATTTCAGGGCAAACTTCAGTCTAGATTTATTTGGGAGGGAAGAAAACCTCAGGTAAAACCTACAGCACTCAAACTCTCCCAGATCTACAGTCTAACTTCTGTGCAGCTCAGCTTAAAGCTTCAACAACCTGAGTTACCGCTCCCCAGCAAAATGGTGAAGAGGTATTCATCTCACTTAAAACATTATATTTTACACATAGTATAACTCAAAGCATTATGAAAATAATTAAACTCTGCAATTTAAATACATTAATCACTTAGAAAATAGTGTGTATTGAAAAAAAAACTCAAGAAAGGAATAGTTGTTTTGAGGGTTGAGAAAAATAGCATGGCACCCTGACTTTCAACCACATAAAATAGACAGATGTTTTAGAAATGGTCATTGAGGGGCATAAGACAGATACAAGGAGGAAGACAGAAATACTGGAAGTACATTCATTCTTGTTGTCCCAATCTTTCCCAAGAGCAAGGGAGAAATTAATTTCAATTTTTTTAAGTTTTGCTTCATGTCAGAATAATGGCAGATTCTGTCTGCACTGCTTCTTGGAGGTTACTACTAATGTAGGATCTAAATGATGAAAACAATGATTTGGATGAGCTCTGCAGATGTTCAGCTGTGCTCCTGTCTTTTTGTCTGCAGGATGGAGCGCTGTGAACTAACAGAGAGATGTTGTGAAGATCTGGCCTCTGTTGTTCAGTCTCAACACTCAAGTCTGAGAGATCTCTTTCTGAGTCGCAATAACCTGGGGGATTCAGGAGTGAAACTGTTGTCTGCAGCTCTGAGGGATCCCAACTGTAAATTAACAGAACTGTGGTAAGTGAACACTGGTGATTTTTGTTTTTTTTATGTGCTAATGC